TAATGTCAATTATGCGGTTGAGGTGATGCAATTAACAAAAATTAATACCAAAATTGAGATGAAAACAAAAGGCATAGAAAGAAAGAGACTTTTATTCATTGAGCATTGCTTAAGTCCATATGGATACTATGGACTCTTTCACAAATCATTAAATCTCTGTTTGATGTATGAATTAAATGATTTGTAATATTGTGGAGATTTTGTCAGGTTTTGCTGTGATTGTTGAAGATTTTATGCTTCTTTTGATGCTTTTTGGACTGTTGTTGCCTTGTTATGCTGCATTGAAGGATGCTATCATCAAAACTACAATTATCTGGAATGGAATAGCTTCAATATTCAAAAACCAAAGTTAAATCAAAATTTCTCAAAAATCCAGAGTGGGGAGGAGGGGGGGGGGGGGGTTCAGCAAGAAAATCAATTAAAATTCCTCGAAATCCATTGTTTCTCTAAAAATGAACGTTCATTTTGGACGTCATAAATGAACGATCCCCAAACCAATCCTCATTATCCCCCATCTCTATGACTCATTTTTAACTCAAACATTGTACAAAAAAATAGAATAAAAACATCAATGATGATGGCGATAATCATTACTTGTCAAAGAGACATAAAGCGAATTAACAAATTACTTAGTCATAATCTCAAGTGCGTCGACAATGGCGATAAAATAATATTGAATTGTACAACGGAACTTTTTTCATCTTCTCTATTCTTATTCACATCTACATCTGCTTTCATCGTATTTTAGTAATTTTAATTTAGACATTCTTTCAAGCACAGCGAACAATATTAAATGATGACAATAATTTTCAGAGTTTACGTACTTCATGAGGTACGATAGGGAAAGATTGTTGGAATTGGGTGTTTTAAGGCGCTGTTGGCTTTGCTACAGGCGAGTTCTCAGAATCTGATGGACTGGGAATCCTGATGATTTGACAGAGAAGTTGTACAAACTAGCTGATAGAGCCAGCAACAGAGTCAGATGGAAAGCCTTTTGTTGTAACATAAGCATCACATAGGAACATGGTTACAATAAGTAAGTTGGCTTTGCTGAGACCCATTAAGATCCTCTAAAACAGTGGTGTCCAACCTTTTTTGTGCTACGGCACACTTGGTTTTTAGCCATGACCAAAACCGTGCTTGAGAGATACCCCAAAATTTTTCACGGCACACGAGTGTTCCGCGGCACACGAGTTGACCATCACTGCTCTAAAATCATCTAAGATCCTCTTGTACACTCTTGGAACCCATTTAAACACTCTGTGACTGTCTGTAACACTCTGAAAAACTTAGAACCTCTTTAAATATTTAATACCCTTCAAGCCTGTGTTTACTTACTCTTAAAATCTAACTGACATCTAGACAATCCACAACCAGTTCATACTCTCTTCTTCAATTAGTTCCATCTCAAAAAATAGCTTGTAAAATGTCATTATCACAAATTATACAATAATTTTTCAAAACATTTTATTAATATCCAACATCTCAACCTATCTTCTTTTCTGTTCCTATTCACACTACAAATGTTGGATAGATTTGTTTGCGCATGATACCGTTCATCTTTCGCAATAGAGTTCAAACTCCGCCATAATTTTCATCAACATGTTAGCCACGGGTATAGTTTTTGTGCAAATTAAATAAGCAAGTCTTGAGGAAAGTTGAGGAATTGTGACAAGAGAGGTTAGGTTGACGAAGGTGAGCAACAAAAGAGAAGAACAAAAGTGAAAGAACACGAACTAATTATAATGAGACATAAACTTACCCAAAAAATATATAAAAATAAAATATGAGAACAACATGACAAGCACAACACAAAAGATTGTTGAAAATTGTTTAAAAAAAATGAGAAACTTCTTCTTATTTTTAAAGTTATTACTATTATTAATTATTTTTTGAGTTTACTCGCTTTTCATTTTGTGACTAGGCAGAAAATATTGGAATTTTTTTGGGCTCATTATGTTACTGTTAAAGTTATGATGGATGGTGTGTTCGGTTATTATTATTTGTTTGTCAACGTCCGGAAGAATTAGTATTTATACATGTTTTACTTTTTACATTGATTAGTGATACATTTCATATCACTATGGGTGACGTAGAATCAAGCTTCTTATCTTCAAATCTAGGTTTCGATTAAATTCAGGCTCTCGTTTCACTCTTCTGTGGGCGTGACGTGATACATTTCAGGTCCGTTCTGACAATATTCCATTATAAGGTAATCTAGTTCCTATTTCTCTCGCTTCACTTCAAGTTCCTGATCCGTTCCTTAATCCAAAGTTGCCCAAAATGCCCAATTATGGCTTGATCTCGTACATTAAGCAGTCGAAGTATCTAAACTTCCGAAAAAGAACAAATTTGGAAATGGCTGGATTCGAACCTGAGTATTTTTCTTATGAGCGAGGGAGGGGGTCTAGATGCTGCAAGTTCCTGTGATGTTGTGAGCATTTTGTGAATCTCCCTAGCGAGACTAACTAGCAAATTGCTAGTCTTTCTATTCTACTACTTGCAATTTACTAGTTATTATTAAAACAACTTACTGCTAGTAAATTACACTTGCTATTTACTAGCAAATTACTAGCAAATTACCATGTAAAATGTTTGATTAAATCTTCTTAAGTTCGAATCCTACGAAAAATCATCAAAAAAGGAATTTTTTGCGTCATAAAGAATTTTGTTCTAAATTTGGCATTTGCCATATACTTCACAAGAGCGCGCAGAAATCACCTTTATAAGGTCGATCCAAATTTGTATGTGACATTCAATTAATTATTTATCTTCCTCAGGTTTGCGTGCGAGTCATGGGCGTTCATCAGTGTTTGACTTAATTAAATTAAGTCTTTTGCTTTTTATCATAGTGTTAGTGTACTTTAATTAACTTCAACTAAGTACACACTAATACTTTTACAATAATTTACACAAATAAAAAAAATCAAAAGAACACGTGGAAATCAACGGTTATATTCATTTAATTTTTCTCCAAATTTGCTAGTAAATTACTAGTTAAATTGCAAGCGAATTGACTAGTCAAATAGCAAGTGAAAATGCGGGTCTTTGGCGATGATTTGAACTTGGATTTTGACTAGTAAATAGCAAGTAGCAAATGGAAAGTTATCTAGTGAATTACTAGGAAATTACTAGTAAATTTCTGCTAGGGTCTTTGTCAAATCGACAACTGTGGAATAGTTTGGGAGATAAGTCAATGGTGGGAATCAAACCTACGTTCTCGCAATAGAAGGTTAAAGATATTAAGCCTAACCACTCGGCCGCAGACGTCTTACTCTCGAACTGACAGAATCGCTTATATTATCCCACATTCCACTCCCCATGAACAACGATAAATGCTCACAATCATACCTAAAGAGCACCCTCATTCTAGTATTTTGATTATACCTAATTGAAGAAACTTTTGTTTTTTAATTTCGGAATTTTTTTGTTTTAAAATCAGCAGAAAATTAATTGCCATAAATGCACAGATCTTTATCGCGGAAACAATTGAAAAAAAAAGTTTTTTTTAATCAATGAAAAAGCATTAAAAATAAATGAAAAGTGAACCAAATAAATTAATTTACTGACGATGATGAGATTGTGAAATATTTTTTATTGTTTTCCTATTGTTTGGATGAATGAAGTTGAGGTAAATAGCTGATTCATTGAAGGAATTGAATGTAATTGAATTGTTTTGTGGATTTTTGAAATTGTTTTTGAATAGTTTTGGTTGTAAATTATTCAAGTGGGGTACAAAGAGGGTTGGAATGTTCTCTAATGAGCCACAATTTCACCATCCTGAAAAACTCAAAACACAGCACAACAGTATCAAATTTCCAATATTGATCTCCAATTTCCTGTAAAGTAATTTGTTAAAAATTTCCAATTAAATTTCAATTCTCATTATAAACTTTTTCTCATATTATAATAATTTTTTTTTTATTCTTATAAAACTTCCTTTTGGTGTCTACAATAAAACTTTTTAAAGCAATTACGATCAGAAAAAATTATTATTTTTTTCTTTCTAGTGTATATAAAAAAAAGTTTCATGTATAAAATTTTTCAATAATAAACCAATAAATAAACATTTTATGTGAATAATAAATCAAATAAAGGAGGGAATAAAATTACTATAAAAGTACAAAACACACTCACACATGTTACATGTTTAAGTTTTCAAATTAAAAAAAAGAAAATATTTAAAAGTGAGATAGAGAATTGCAGTAGCGCATTTTCGAAATGAAAAGATTTTTTGATTTTTGTATTTTAAAATTGTTTCAAAAAATTATATTTGAGATGAAAAAATATGTTGGATGTTCAGAAGTACAAATAAATATCAGCAAATTTATGGGAATCGAACCCTTTCATCTGATAATTTAAACAATTTTTAATCAAATTTCTTTGGAAGACAACTTCGTGTTTCTATTTACTTTAATTATTATGACAAAATGTTTTATTTAAAGCAGTTTTTCTCAAACTTTTTTGGCCCTCGGCACATTTTTCGCATAAAACTGTTCGCGGCACACCTGAATAATCTCGTAGCACACCAAATGATTATCATGACCTTTTGGAAGTCATAAAACATGAAGATATAGGGCAAATTTTAGCAATCTAATGTTTTCTAGTGTGCCGTGGCACATAGTTTGAGAACCACTGATTTAAATTGTTTTTCTTTCCAAAAAGTCAGAGGTTGCAAACTTTTTTTGAAAAACTCTAGAAAATTGATAAAATTGATGTTTTGACACCCCTTCCCCCCAAATCCCTGTGACTACGACCCTGAATGAAAACCTAGTGCCTATCTGAACCCCACATTTTATAAAAAATCCAGATTCACTTCAATAAAATAGATTTCAAATTTAAAACACTGAACATGCATTCAATCAAGAGAATGCGGTCAGTAGCATGCACTTCCCATCATTACAACATCAATAACCAGACAAAGTTGATAACTCTTCATTAAAAATGCGCTAATATAAAACCGCAAGAATAGTAATAACCTAACATGAGAATATTGAAATTTAATTTTTCCATAGAATAGCATAAAAGTCAGAGAATTGAAATTAAATTTCAAACTAAAGTGCCTAACTGTGAAACATCTTGTTGTGTAGTCAAATTGATGCAATCATTTGGTTGTAAAATCATATTACGCTTATAAATATTGTTCCTGCTCTCTATAATACTATTACTATTATTACTACAACTACTACTACCGTTTATAGCTTGGGTATTGATCAATAACTTCTTTGGACCTAATTTATATTGGGTAGCTTGAATTATCGGATTATTAACATTATTTATATCGCTTTCAATATGATGATTATTCTTTTGAATTCTTTGGTTAATCGTTGCTAAATAACTCATTGACGCACGCATTGCTTCATTGTATTTATGTTGTTGCTGCTGGTGATGCTGTGGCAGTGTCGATTTAAATTGTGATATATCCGTAATTGTATTATTTGTCAATTGATGTGTTGGAATTGAATGGATTTGCGCTTGAATGATTCTTTTTTCAGCTGTCGATGGCATGGTGTGCTGTGGCATTTGATAGATTTGTTGATTTAACATTGGCATTGGTTGTACGGCTGAATTTGATGATGATAAAGTGTCAGTCATGTGACGTGAAAAATCAATTGAATTTTGATTGATATTGTTCATATTTAAAGGCATCGATTGTCCACTACTCTTTAAAATTATTTTACTTATGTTGTAAATATTCTCAGCTAAATACTCGCGACTCATATTAAGCTCCTCATTTTGTGTAAGCATTTTAAATTGTTCACTCTTGAGTGGAGGCAATTCTGGCGGCATAAGTGCTGTTGCTCCATCAATTACGTCATTACTAACATCCAATTTTCTATGTTCCACTTCAGCCTCTTCCAAGTCATCGTAAAGCTTCTTCAGCACATCCGTTTTTGAGTTGAGTGCGTCATCCGACATTTTAATTTCGCTCTCCATTTGAGCGATTTCACAATTCTTTGCATCTAACTGTTCATTTACACGACCCAGTGATTCCTTCACTTGCGCTTCTGATAGACCCGAGGCATCAGCCTCATATCGTTTAATTTTTGCACTCAATCGAACGCACAACTCCTCCTCGCGCTGCAAATGCTTATTCAGAACGATTAGCTTCTCAAGAATATCGATTTGGGCTGCCACTTCGCTACTCATTGGCATCTCATCATCATTCCTCATCATTTTCAATTCCTCTTGTACTTGCTGTTCATTCTCGACAATTGACTTCTTCTCGCTACTTATTGCACTTGAATATTCTTTTGTTGATTGATGCTCGAGCATTAATTCATGCTCGCGTTTTGAACGACGATGTTTCTTCGATGAGACTTTTACAGAACTCAAGTTTTGCTCATTAAGTGGAATTAATGTATCGCTGATTTCATCTTCATGCTGTACTTCTGGTGATGCTGCTGTCTCTTCTGTATGTACACCCGAATCGGAATTTCCCGCTGCAAGCTCTTGTTTATCGTCATTGTCATTCGAAATTCCTTTTAAGTATGTCTCGAGGAGGTAGTTCTTGCCGTGCTCTTTCTCGCGGATTTTGTGACGTTCCTCTTCGAGAGTTGAGATTTCTAGCTCGCGGTCTCTGTTGGGTTTTAGAGGTAAGAGGAGAGAATAAGAAAGAAATTTGATTAATGATTGAGAAAATGAAAATAAGAACAAGTTTATTAAGAATTTAAGTGCGAGCTGGTTTGGCTATTGCAGCTATTATTGTAAGGACAAAAATGAGACTAGTACTCTAATGACTGGTGGCAAATTGAGGCTATTGTTTCGGGTATATCCTAGTTTTGACCTCACTTAGTATAACCTATCCTAGTAAGACCTATCCTAGCAAAATCTAAAACTTCCTTAATAAACTAGTGCCAATGAGTCATCAGACAAGTAAAAAAACAGCAATAAAATTAATTATCAGCCTTAACTAGCCATCATCTACCTCAATTTCACTTAAAATGCTCAACTTTTAAATGCCAATATTTATGGAAATAATCCCAGAGCCAATAGCCATCCGCTTTCAATTTAAATTGACTACAACTAATTAAATACCATTAAAAGATCTCAAAAAAATAAAATAAAATTACTAACCTCAATTTCGACAATTGCTGCTGAATGACTTCACCTTGCTCCAAAATTAATTTCATTAATCGCTCAATATTATTTTTCGACGATTTCGGATGAATCGTTTGTCCATGAGTCATCCATGCGAATGTTGATTTTGATGCACGATGTCGTCGCCTCCGAACAATAGCACTATTGATACTACCAGTTGGACTTCCTCGTCCACTATCGCGATCACCTGCTAAAATCGCCACACCACCACCCGTCGTTTGTGTTTGACTTTGACTTTGGTGCTGTTGCTGCTGCTGTTGTTGATTTGATGAATGGTGAGAATCAGACCGACGTTTTAAACAAAATCTGACCTGGAAGTAGAATTGTAAGCATTAACAATAAACAGTTTAGCATTATTTTCACATCAATTTAACTTCACTAGTTTGTGAATGGCGATGCTTAATGAATTAAGTTAATTTAATATGAAAATTGCTACTTGCACACCCATTTAATGATAAATTTACATTTACAATATCAGCATTCAAAATGTGAGGAAAAGGCAACTTTCTTGCATGCATACAAATTGCTTTGTTTCTTTTCTTTTCTGTCATCACACTGCATGGCTAATGAAGCTTTGGAATTGCTCAGCAAAATGAATGCATGAACATTGTAATATTGGAGATGAGATTTTGATTTTTTTGTGCTGCATATGGTTAAGAATAAGTATGCACAACTTTTTGAGGTTAAGTGGTCAATTTTTCAATTATGAGGAGGAATTCTGAGAAATTTGGATCAGATTTGTGCTTATAAATTCTTAAAGAATTGTTAACCGATGACTTGATGGTCTATGAAGAGTTCAGCATGTCCAGACCCTTGATATCTTAATTATTCTTCTTAAACAGCTTGATATAAATCAATCTCTAGGAGAGACTCTACCTTATGATGTTTAAAGCATCAATAATCAATGTTTCATCAATATTAAAAATATTGAAGACATCCAAGAACTCTTGGGAAGAAGACAGTATTGCATTTGCTATTGGTAATTGGCAAACGGTAGCCAGCGATACAACCAGCTTCAGGTGCTATCTAAAGGAGTCCATAGATCTCAATTGATCTATACAGCCAGCGAAGTAAGGAAAGACATCCATGAAGATAAATAAACCCTTGTCATGTCCAACGCACTCTCTATTCCTTCTCACTGAAGTTCCACTAATCATGAAAATAACCAAAAATTGCGTACTCATGAACAGTTTAACAACATCATATGCCTTTACATCACAAACATAATCAAACAATCCACAATGTCATTATTCATCAATTACTCGTCAATTGCATGTTAGTTCCGTTTCTTCCTTATTCAAAAAAAAATGCCTTCAATCAATGAAATTTACTTGTTACGGTACTGAGATGAAAATTAAGGAAAAATCGCTTCATCATTCAGATGTATAGAAATGATTTCGTAATCATGGCAGCAAGAAATAAGAGAGAAATGTATGTCAATAATATCGATTAGCATGTACGGTATCCAATATGATGAGTTTATTTCTAGAGGGATTCTGTATTTTGCACTGTAACCGTGATTTAGCTGAATCTTGAGATGAAGTTCAGATGAGGAAGATTATTGAGATTTTGTCTGTCAGGTTTAGATAATTTTGATTTAGGTTGGGTGGAGATTGGGATGGATTTAGAGGGAATTTTGAAGTTTTGAGTAAAAATATGGTTTGAATCTTATCAGATCAGCCTTGAGACTATTCTGGCTTGCTAGATGATAGTCAAATTTAAGAGGATTGGAGAAAGTTGAAGATGACTAAGGCCTTAAAGATTTTAGAATAAAATTCCAATCCTTAACCATTTACAAGCGCGTAACTAAGCCCAAACACTGACTTTTCTACAGCTTAAAACATCCTCAAAAGGTTAATTACCCAAAAAATCGTTAGAATCTACTCCACATGCTTTAATACGGTACTACTCTGTCTTGAGATTCTTCTCTCTTGACTACACATTAACAATCTACCTTTACTTTCGATCATCATATAATCAAAAAAGCATTAGACGTGAAGATTGATTATTTAATATGAAAAATCATTTTTTCGTTCATTCTTAAGAGTTTGGGGTCATTTATTAGTGATGTCGAAAGTACATGGTGCGAGGGTTCACCGTTAATTAATCTGAAATTCGTTGGGATTACTGCAGAATTTTGGTTATTGTCAACCATGAGAGGAGGTGGTCTAGTGGAAGAGATTTGAGTCCTAAAATCACATTTATTGATAAACGTCATTTACGAATGATCCCCAAAAAATGCTTTTCAATAAACGTATTAAAGCTCCAAATGTACATATATCACAAACACTTTCATATTGCCACAAATATTTCCCGTCAAGATTCTACCAACGATACGTCAATCATCAACCAAATGCAAAAGTTTTATTTTATTTTTTTTTTCTGTTACTCTGTATCTGAACTCCAACATCTCTGTTACTCATTTCATTTCGAGAGTCAGAACGTACATTCGAACAGCAGAAATTGTAGCGGTGCTTGTGATTTTCAATTTTAGTATTTTTTAGAGGTAAATGATTGGAATAAGTAAAAAGTTTAACAACACCTTGCGGTTTAAGAGAGCAGTAACTTTGCCACCATTTGCTGTTATATCATAAAAATTTATGTAATCAATTTGATGTGAAGCATGTACAGAACATTACTCAAAAGGTAATTTCATGTGTATCTCTCGAATGTTTCTCGTAAAACCCAATAAAATGGAATACAAATGTGTATTTTGCTGCTGTTCGATCTCTTGGATTTAAAAAGTAATCTTCTCTTCCTTTTTTTGCTTGCTGCTGATGCTGTGAGAAACATGATATTTTGTAGTTTAAAAGCTTCTATGAAATTTTTGTATAGTCCGCCAGATTTTTTTTGCTGTCTTTTTTCATAACAATAAATGCAAAAATGAGAAGAAAGATATGAACTTTCGAAAGTTATAGGAGAGCTAGCGAAAAATATGGCAAGTAAGGAAGGCCTTGAATTAAGCATAAGGCGCATTTTTGAAGTTTTTACTGCCTTTTCATTGAAGACTTATAATATTAATATCAACTAAGTCATAAAGAAAAGATTTTATGATTTCAATTGAAAATTAAAAAAATTAACGACAAAAAGAAATCAAAAATAAAATCTCCACCTCAAAAAGTTTTTTCAAAAAATTTCAACAAAAACTGTCAAATTTACACCAAAACTTGATTGAATCGTGTACAAAAAAGTGGCAAGCATTCAATAAAAGCTATAAACAGTCAATTTACATCAATTTATGCAAGAAAAATGCATCAAAAGCATTTCCGAACATCTAAATTACTCAACAATCTTCAAAATGACCCCATTCCTACCCAAAATATGTGCTAAAATATTTATGTATGTTTTACTGGATATTATGCTATCAACATTTAACATATTTTCATGAAACATGAGCAGCACAACAAAAGGTGCGGCAAAATATTATGGAATAAAATAATAAAATAGTTTAAGTATGTGGTATGAAAAAGACAGTGACTGACTCTCTATGACTCATAAATTTTAAAATTACAGACGAGCCGTAGATTTTTTCTTCCTTTCACTCTATCTCTCTTATTTATGTTATGCTGTACATAGAGTAGGTAAGCCACAATTGCAAAATGATTTACTTTAAATTTATAAGCAAATTCTGATGTAATCTAACAATCATGTTTGTTGAGTGGTTATGTTACACAGTACAGAGCAGTATGCACTTTAAGGTCAGAGATTTGTTTTGCATAATGAAAATGAGATAAATAAGACTGTAATTAAAAGTAATGAAAAAAAAAATTGTGAAAAAAAGCAAAAAGTCATGATCTAAAATGAAGCATGATTATATCATGTTGATAATAATATATATGAGAAAGTAACACTTTAATGGCTCTGATTATAGCGTAGAATGAGAAAATGTAATGAATTTATTGTAGCATGATTCCAGCAATAAGATTAATTATTATTTTATATTCATCAACTTTTAGGTGTAGCTTATATTAAACTTTTAAAATATTCTGCAATGTTCAAGCCATTTTAATTTAAAACCCCTCAAAAATACATGAAAAACGTATTGCGTAATTGATAATCCCCAGCTTATCCATTTTAATGACGAAATTATTTTTATATTTTTTTAAAAAAATCATTTACCAAATTATAGAGCATGATAAAATTGAAGCATTATAAATTTCAACAGTTCATCATTTTACTGACACCTTACATCACAGTGAACTAGTATGGATGGGAGAATTTGTTGCTATTTTGAGACTATTTTATGGTTGAGGTACTTAACTGAGTTCAGTTCAGTACGATCCATGATTTTATGGAAAAAAAAACACAAACACAAAGACACTCTTCAAGTTCTGTTACTAAACTATTTGTCCAGCAAGAGTCAGTCATACAAAAGTGATAACACCAACACAACCCTTCATATAAATCTTAACGTTAATCACTACAACCTTCATTATTATGATATGATTCATTCACTACTCTGATATTTCAGAATCATAAATGAAACGAAATTAATTATTTAATAAAAATTTATCGTCATTAAATTTTTATCGCGTTTAAAGCTTTTAATGTGATTAAATATCTCAATACAATTTTTAATAAAATTTATTAATGAAACTGAAGTGAGAAATATAAATTATTCGATCACTTGTTTGTGGGGTGCTGCATGGATATGGATGCATGCTGTGTGATTTCTTTGGTTGTTGTCAGTGAGTCTGGGTGGAAAAGGTGTGGTTTTTTGAGGTATTGAAGCATTCCTAACCTCAAATTTGAACGTCATTTATGTACAACTCCTAGATGCAAGATGCTCAGAATCATTTTAATTCAAATAAATAGCTACAGATCCTGTAAATCGCTTTAGAGAAAATAAAAACCCACTTAAAACCATTTAAATCAAGCAATTAAAGGTATTAAGCAAATGATACCAATAAATTTGCATTATGTGATAATTAAAACCAGAACCTCATTGTAATTCTACATAGATTGTACATCCATTAAATCATAATGCAAAAAAGGAAATTATAGAACCAAGCAAATATTTTTAATAGACTGCATGTAGACAAACACAGAAAAAAAAGCATTTATGGATAAAAGAAAAATAACAGAACATGGAACATATTTAGCAACAAAAAAAGGCAAATGGGAAACAAAAACGCTTGAAGCTATTATCATAATAACTCTATATCAGTATGAAAATACAGAAAAAAATAAGAAAACAGTAGAGATAAAATGCAAATAATCATTTTCATATCTCTTATTGCATGCAATTTGTTATGATTTCCATTACTTCTAAATTTTTCCTTCTACTTAACGAGGAGATCTACATCATATGAGATAATAAAGATCAAGCCATAACTGACTTTTGATGAATTCATTTCAATTATGAATGTGGATATAAAGACAATGGTTGGCAATTCTGTTTTGCTAAAACTGAAATAGTTCAAATTTATTGATTCGATTTCAAACCTTTGGATCCAGTTCAAAACCTTTTGTTCCAATTCAATACCTTTTGATCCGGTTCAAAACCTTTTGATCCGGTTCAAAACCTATTGATCTAGTTCAAACCCTTTTGATCCGGTTCAAAACCTTTTGATTCGGTTCAAAACCTATTGATCCAGTTCAAAACCTATCGACCTGACTCAAAACTTATCGACCTGGTTCAAAACCTTTTGATCCGGTTCAAAACCTATTGATCTAGTTCAAAAACTATTGATCCATGTCAAAAATAATTGACTCCAGCTCAAAATACCAAAATTATCAAAATTTCCCACCCTTTCCCCTTAAACGACCATAATGATTCATAATCATCATCAAACTATCTTACCTCAGATTGTTCTGTTCCCCACGCCGTCCATATCTTGAGAATTTTCGTTCGTCCATCGAGTGCCTGCTCCATTCTACGCCATCGTTCCGTAATGACATAGTCATTCACTTTAGGTGGATACAAATTTCCACCATTAGTATTATTATTGCTATCATTTGTAGATTTTAGTATGCCCTCATCCATCAATAAAGCTTCAATTATGTCTAAACATGTTGTCTGGTCGGTAACACCAGATATCCATCTTTGTTCACCTTTTACATAAACGGGAATTTCATTTGACCATAATTCAACTGATTCCTCACCATCCGACTCGCCCGACGTCGAATCATAATTATTGTCATTGCCATTCTCATTTAACTTTTTGTTTTCACTACTTAATATTCGATTTTCATTAGACATTTTGTGATTACTACTGCAAATTGTCTGTGATTGTTGCTGTTGAAACGTTTGTTTTGTGGTCGCTGTTTGCTCTTGCTGCTGTTGTTGTTTTTGTTGTAGCTGCTGCTGTTGAAGCCTATACGGAAAAAGAGAAAAGAGAAAGAAACAAACAAGAATTTAATAACCGTGAAATGACAAAATCCAATTATGCGAAAAAAGCAAGAGTGACTTTGCAGTATTACTGTCATTTAAAAATTATTTTTAAGCGCAAGTTTTCAGGATGAATGGGGGACATGAGTGCAGTTTGGGAGTGTTATTACAAACTTTAAGTTTCAAGATGATCAAGTACTTTGGTTTCTCTTTTGTGGCGACATTAGTAGTCGTTATAAGCGCTTAGTGTTGTCATTAAGCGAATTAAAATGAACAGGCTCCGATGGGCTGGACATATTATGAGGAGACCTGTGGAAGCTCCATTAAGTAAGATCTTTAAGTCGCACTTTGAGGATGGAAAAAGAGCACGTGGAAGACCAAAGAACTAACGGAAAGAGGATGTTAATAGAGACAGGATTGCATTTGGTATAGGAAATTGGCAATCGGTAAACCAGCGATAGAGCCAGTTTTAGGCGGCATCTGAGGGAGGCCATGGATCACAACTGATCTGTAAGGTCATCGAAGGAAAGGAAGTAAGTTAGTAGTCGTTGAGAAGTGAGTATTCCAAGCAAGAGACGAAGCTCAGCCACTGGCTAAGCTACTGAGACGGTTTTAAGGCTCTTCGAGGTACTTCATTCCCTAGTAATAGTGAAAGCTCATCAGTAATTAATTCTGGAGAATCGGACCTCGAATAGCCCAAGAAACCTTCCCTAACGATGCAATATATCAAAACAGCACAACTCCACCTGTTCTTCCAATTTCCTAATAAGACTAAATCAATATAAAGTCTGTGGTACAATAGATTCTGTTCTAATTTGAATCGCAGTGCCCCCAGCTGAAAGGCTGGGCCCTTCACACATTATTAAATCAATATAAAACTATTTTAAGCATAAATTCATCTCAAAAATGCGTCAAATCCAACTGTCACCCCAAGAAGTTATCCAGAAATTCCACAATGTCTCCTCAAGCTTAACATTTGACTCGAGTAAAACTTTTTTTCATATTTCATTTGTTTTTAAAACATTTTTTGAAGCAGCAATTTAAATAAAATAAATTTACATTTCATTTCATTTTCATAAGTTTTTGTTGGTGGAAGAGAAAATTGTTTTATTCTTTATCTTAAGATTCATTGCATGATTCGAGTGCAATTGCTGGAATTTTAATCCTTGAGATTTCTTTTTTCATCATTCACAAGAGCTCTTTCGTCAATGTCTCAAAGTCATAGCTTGTGCATGAAGGAGAATATCTCATAAAATATATGGAATTAAGAAGAACAAATACAATAAAATGAAAAATTGCATTTGTGCAATTGAGTTTTTTCTGCGAATATTCGCTTGACGAGATTAACTTCTTTCCTATTTAACTTTAATATATGTTTTAATATTATTCCATACTCTGTCATCATTCATCATATTTCTGCTCATTTGTTTGACTTCTTCATTGTCATTTATGCTGTAATGAAATCTTTTCTGATTGCATTTCTATGATTAATTTTTCAGAATCCTCCGATATCGAGCTTTGTCATATTAAACCCAAATTCAATTCAAATTTCATATTCACAATAAAACCCAATTAATTCATGCTGAAATCATAACTTCCCATCGCCATCACTCACCCGGTGAGTGCACCAATATGTCTACACAACTCATTTCGTTATGCACAGGTTGCTTTTGTAGTTGCACTTAATGATGCGATCATGTATGAAATTCTATGAAAAAATATCGATTCTCTTCCTTCTCATATGTCATGCTTCCATAATTCAGTGTTTCATATAAATATCTGCTGACTTAACATACTATCAGCTACCACCATTCAAAGCTAGTGAACTACTGGAATGTACGGAACAATATTACTAAGATTCCGCCTCTTGATTACAACTGCGACAGATGAATTAATATTGATTGATTTATTGCAACATAAATCATAGTGCTCGCAAAAATAATCTTATATGTTGGAGAGAGTTCATATATATCGTAAGTAGCGACGATGATGATGATGATGGTAGAACGAAGGAGTAGACGGGAAATGAGAACGACATGAAAAAATAAAGTGTATCGGACAAGTGGAAAGAAGAAAGAATGAGGAGAACAGAAGAGACTTAATAACAATATTGTAACAGGGAAGTTGGTGAGTCATGTGAGTGATTGGGTATGGTTATTTGCGCAGTTTTGGAAGAAGTAAGATTGTATTCATGGTTCTAGCTACTTAGCTTATGGTTCTTAGTTTTTGGCTCTAGATTATTTGTTCTTGTTTCTCGGTTCTCAGTTATAGGTTCTTGGTTTTTGGTTCTTGTTTATTGGTTCTCATTTATTGGTTCTCGGTTATTGGTTCTCGGTTATTGGTTCTCGGTTATTGGTGTTCTCGGTTATTGGTTATTGGTTCTCGGTTATTGGTTCTCAGTTATTGGCTCTCGGTTATTGGCTCTTGGTTCTCAGTTATTGGTTCTCGGTTCTCGGTTATTGGTTCTCGGTTATTGGTTCTCGGTTTTTGGTTTTCGGTTATTGGTTCTCGGTTATTGGTTCTTGGTTCTCGGTTATTGGTTCTCAGTTATTGGTTCTCGGTTATTGGTTCTCGGTTATTGGTTCTCGGTTATTGGTTCTTGGTTCTCGGTTATTGGTTCTCATTTATTGGTTCTCGGTTATTGGTTCTCGGTTATTGGTTCTCGGTTATTGGTGTTCTCGGTTATTGGTTATTGGTTCTCGGTTATTGGTTCTCAGTTATTGGCTCTCGGTTATTGGCTCTTGGTTCTCAGTTATTGGTTCTCGGTTCTCGGTTATTGGTTCTCGGTTATTGGTTCTCGGTTTTTGGTTCTCGGTTATTGGTTCTTGTTTATTGGTTATTGGTTCTCGGTTATTGGTTCTCAGTTATTGGTTCTCAGTTGTTGGTTCTCGGTTATTGGTTCTCGGTTATTGGTTCTCGGTTATTGGTTCTCGGTTATTGGTTCTCAGTTGTTGGTTCTCGGTTATTGGTTTTCGGTTATTGGTTCTCGGTTATTGGTTCTCGGTTATTGGTTCTTTGTTATTGGTTATTGGTTCTCGGTTATTGGTTCTCAGTTATTGGTTCTCAGTTGTTGGTTCTCGGTTATTGGTTCTCGGTTATTGTATCTCGGTTATTGGTTCTCAGTTATCGGTTCTTGGTTATTGGTTATTGGTTCTTTTTTATTGGTTCTTAGTTATTGGTTCTCGGTTCCTGGTTCTTGGTTCTCGGTTATTGGATCTCGGTTATTGATTCTCAGTTTTCGGCTCTCAGTTTTCGATTCAAGGTTTTTAATTTACTCCATACCTACATTTCATAGACAGTCAGACACCAAAATTCCAACAATCCACCTCACGTACTTCCACCAAACCATTACTAAAGCTGAGAAGAAAGACAAAACAGAATGGAAGGAGAACAAGCGAAGAACAAGAAAGAACAAATTTATGTTACTGTAACATTACATTACATAATAATCTGATGGTGAGCATATTCTTTGACATACATAAATATTGAATCGTCAATGATGATGAATCAATAAAAAATTGGGGGGATATACGAGAAATTCTGTATGTACGAGCATATTTCGCATGTTGCTAAAAATGTGATTCATCTTTATTTTATTTTTATTTTCTCCTTCATTCCACTTTTTTTTGGCCTGTACAATTGAGCATGTTTGTTATCGAATAAAAAATAATGTGTGTGTATATGAAATTGAATGAAGTCGGAGGGAATTGATTGAGATAGCAAATGTTGTTGGTGGATGATAAACAGAAAATAAATCAGAGAAGGAAGTTGAAAGACCACCAACGTATTTAAATTTCAAGGCTCTTTTCCCTTTTCTTGCTGTTTTTATCTCTTCTTCGTGTTCGACAATTCCTTCGTCATGAGACTTAAGTAGCACTTTTACTTTCAAACTTGAGTGAAATTCTTGGATGTCTTAATTCTCTTATGTGGATTTCATATGTGGATATTTTGTGTAATTGGGCTGATTATAAGGTTTTGGATTGGTTCAAATGGGATTTGATACGAAAAATAAACTTCATTTGTAATCAAAGTCATCCAATGATCATCAAATCTCAAACCTCACTCAATTCCATGTAAACAGAAGCAAAAAGCTTTTAAAGAACCATTCAGAACTCTTTAAAAGTCATCAAAGAACAACAAGGCATCCTTTAAAAAATTCAAATTCTCACAAGAACTTACTCCCAACAGGGTTTCGTTACGTTACAAGCAGCAACATCATCATGACTTTTCAATAAGCTTTAAATGCAAAAACATCTCCGTCCATACTACTTTAAACTATAAATATTCATGGACTTAGCTATTTCACCTTTAGCATCACATGAGCGCCATTTCATTAAATATTCATAGAAATGCACACTGCATTTTTTTTAGATTGTATGGTTGCCTTCACCGAGGTTGAGTGAGGAGAGTCATGTTGTGAGTGAGTCGGCATCAAATTGTACATCAACATAAAAGCGAAAATCTTGCATCATGTTGCAGAAAAAAAAATTATTTTTTTGTTATTCCAGACACAAAGCGAAAGCGAAGACTGAATATACCAAGAAAAAAAAAACCATCATAATTACAAGGCGGAATGGAATGGATATATATCGAAATGGAAAACAACAATAACAGTGAAATGTATAGAGATAGAGCGATGGCATTAACAGTCATTATTGGCCAATTGATGACTGTTCATTGTACATTATAGAAATATTAAGTAACATAATACAATGATTCGTCAAGTTATCAGCACTAAGATTGTTTGAACGGGAATTCGAAATATCATCAAAATGCTAATGTTGTGTAATCGTTCCTATATTAAGTTGAGTAAGGTTTTATAGAGATTTATGGCGCTTATAATGAAACTTGAAGGGAATGAGAGCATGTTTTACAAATTTTGGTGAGTTCGAGTCTTACTTTTGTTCAGTTTAATTGCTAACGGAAGCAGTTCGATCCTTAACATTTATTGCCTGGCCAAAGGGACCAAATGAGAGTGTTTAAGCA